CTGGTATATATTAAATACCTAACAATTAATCCTTGTTTGACCTTAGTAATCATCAATTCATTAATATATATATAACGTAGATTGAACATCCATTACAATAATTACCTTGGTTCCGCCATATCAACAGAAAAGGCGTGTCCTACTAATAGTGTCGTAAGTGATCACATTACATTTCAAGTAAAGTGTGAGCCGTGATCGATAGATAGTTGACTGTATTGTTACCTTATGATATTCAGCGCGGAGTTTTCTTTGGTCGTGCAAGGTTTTGCCCCTTGAGCATATAATATGTACATACATGTTGCTCCATCATGGAAGGTTAGAAGGGGGTGTGGCACTTGTTAAACATTTCTTTACTATTGTAGTGAGTGTACGTGTATAGTGGTTCTAGCTGTTGGCATATATGCTTTTACTGTATATGACATTTCAATAGTAATTATAGCAAATCCCATAACTCGGTAGAGCTCTTTGTTATCTAAATTAACATCTGTTCGAACCATCGATATCCCTAGTTTTTCCTCCCCATGTGTTCATGCTAGTTAAATCATGCCTAGAAGATTGACGATACAAATTCTCTTTGTTTTAACCATACAAAAAAGAACATTACACTTTGTTACTTTTTTTCATTTTTTAATAAGTACTCTGGGGATAGTATTGTCCGCCTGCTATCCATTTGGTTAACAATAGAGTTGATGACGCAGGAACATTTCAACATACAAATACTTATGGAGTTTACTTTGAACCATTTCATAATCTGATTTAGAAATAACTGAACTTTTAAAGTGTTAATAAAAAAGAGGGGACCATTATTCGATCTGTTATCAGATATGACGTGAGGTTTTAAATTAACAAACAAATGTGAACTGTCTACATATATTTGTTTCTATAGAGAGTAATGGTTTGCATAGCTCAACGACAAATTTAACACAAAAACGCGCACCTTGTAATATCCCCCCCCCCCCCCCAATAATGCAATTCAAGGTTAACTGACACGTACAGTGTTTCAAAAATATTTCATTGAGACTAGAAAACAGAGCCAAACGAACAATTGTCAAAAAGTACATTTTAGATTATTCCGTTAACGATTTTTAAGCTAATTAAATTGTAATCAACCAGATCCGTATCTTAACATCTCACACATACTATCTTTATAACTGTATACAAGGTGCCATTTTAATTAAATAACGACATCCCGGAGACATGCTTCCCTCTGCTTAATGTTTAACTAAACTAACTAACTGTATAACTGCTCATTTAAAGCGAAAAGTCTATGTTGCAAACAAAGGACACCCCAAAATAGACAAAATATATACACGAAATAATAGATATGGATGTATTTTCTTTTGATTTGTTTAAATCAAAAAGTCATATCTTTACCATAACGTTACTAAATGTAATAATTCATGATAGGGAGGCCATTAAATGCATTTAATTTAGTTTTATACACACAGAAAATTATTTTAAACTTCTCTGTTTGTACGTGGGTGGGTACAATGGCGGGGCTCGTTCGGCCATCCGATCTTCCGACAGGATAGTTAAATAATGTTCTAAAACGGACGTGCTGCCATGCTTCCTAGAACGGACTTTAATAATAAAAAAGGGCCAAAATTGCCCCGGTCTCCCTATTGTTATGTCGGTCTTAATCTAATTACAGAAGACAAAGAGCTTGTGTTTTATGGTTATTCCTCGACTAGCCGACTTTAAATAAAGTTTATCTGGGCGTAGCCAGACTCGCAAAGTGTGAGGTCCACCCCTGTAGAATGTCCTCATCCCCACATGTAGGTACTCCGTCAAAATGTATGCTGCTGACTTTACTTAATTGGGTTGCCCTCTGTTTGTTAATTTTATGGTAGAATAACTATATTTTTCTGTATAGTGTATTCCTCACGTCGGCTGTAGGTTGTCTCTGTGCCTTGCGTATTTTCCATATTCCCTGCTTTGCCTCTGCATGGAAGATATGCATTTATGATACAAAGGGGCGGTGTAGATTCCACCAGGATGACATTTCACCAGGATGACATTTATCCTGTGTGAGCCGTCCGGTATCTTCACAATCAAATGGTCCAGATCCTTCTTCCATAATGTAGCCACACACCCATAACCTCTCTTCTGCTCCAAGGGTGGGATTGGATCATCGTCGTCGACGCTTTTGGCAGAGTAATTCATTTCAGGTATATGTTGCTGTATGTCGTCCTTCTCAAAAGTTATATAACCAAGTTTCTTGAAGGCAAAGGATATCCGCCTCCTGCACTAATCTCTTGGCGTAAAGACTGTTTCCTCTAACGTTCTGAATGTTGAGTGTGCAGAGTTTTAATGTCTTCTGTGACAAAACGGTACCTTGTCTGTCACGATTCCTAGCCATTGGTTGGGTCAGTGGAATAGTGGTTGTCCTAGTGACCATTGTGTGTGGATTGTCCCGAAAATCTGATCTGGCCTCTCGGGGTCTGCGACCTCTGTTGAGCAAGTTCCACATGTGGATATGAAGTCTGGGCCGGGTATGCTTGCATCCATGCCATTGGCGTCTTGAGTCTCCGGTGCAAAGCAAAACCTGAAAATCGAGGCCACTTAATGGTCAAATGCCAAGCACTAGAGCCATGTAGGTGTGGAATACTTTTCTCCTATCAAAACTCTGTTAGGCTCTACAGATGCAACCAAAGCCATACTTGCTGATTGCGGCCACACACTCCAGTTAATACTGGACTCCAGCCATCCAGATATAACAGACTTGATAGGGAACTACTCCAAAAACTTACTGTTACATACATTTACATTTACGGCGATACTGCAAAGGGTCGTCGGAGAGCATCAACTTGCAGGTAGACTTGTGCGGCGTGGCTTCCACATAAATTCGTTAAAAACAGGTTAAAAAGTTAAAACTATTTACAGGATCCTCTGCAAGATGCCTGTGGAGCGAGGTCTTGAATGCCTCCACAGTCAGCTGCTCGACGACCTCTGATGGAAGTCCATTCCATTCAATGTATAGAAAGACATTCCAGGGTGTTGACATATAGATTACATCGAGAAAGATGCAGATTGTTAAACATATGAATTGAGTTGGAACAGCAGCAAGAACCCCAGTGACTTTGCCTGAATGGGCTGGTTCTCCGCATACTCAATAACGGAACTTTAGGTTAGATAGACATGATTGATCTAACAGCAACATATTGTATATAACGTTACTCCTTAGACGTTACCACCTCTACACCTAGTACTAATCGGTGTGTATATAATATAGTGTGTAGTGCGGAAATTACAGACAACAACAACATGGCGGAAGACGAAAATGTACACATGGGTCTGATAGATATTACCCATCAAAAACTCGATACTTGTTGATAATAAATAGTTAACTATGTGATGAGTGCACAAATCCAGGACCCATCGCAAATCCATGCAGTGTATGTGAACGGCCTGTGGCGAAAACTCACCGAGCTATAGGATGTGATACATGCGAACTCTGGTCACAATTAAGTGCAACGATATATCCTCAGAAATACAACTGGGTGAATTTTTTGAAAATATTTTAAATCCTTATCTTTGTACTTTCCGTCGCGGCCATGGATGTCGAAACCACACTACTAAGACTTCTTGAAGATTGGCGTTTAGCACTTGATACAAACCTTTATATTGCTGCTGTTTTGATGGACCTTTCAAAAGCTTTTGACTGCCTCCCACATGAATTTTTTCTTAACAAATTGTCAGCATATGGTGTTTTGGCTCAATCAATTTCTCTTCTAAAATAATGTTTGTCAGATAGAAAACAACAGATAAAATTAAATTCTGTTCTTAGTAGCTGGGCTGACATCCAGGAAGGGGTAGCCAAAGAATCTATCCTTGGGCCCCTTTAATTTAACATTTTTATAAATGACATATTTCTATTTATCAAAAAGGGTTAATTGTACAATTATGCAGATGATAATACCCTTTCATTCTGTAGTCCTGATTATGATATTTTAATTTCAACATTGGAATCTGAGTCACTTCAACTAATAGATTGGTTCAGGGTGAATAAGATGCAAGCAAACCCTGATAAATTTCAAGTTTTGGCTGTTGGTAAAATACTTTTTGTAAAAATCCTTGTATTCGTATTCAATACACTGAACTGTCATGTGAAACAACTGTTAGATTGCTTGGCATAGATATTGATTACCAACTTTGATGTATAAATAAGGAAGATTTGCAGGGAGGCATCCCAGCAACTGAATATCCTCAAACGTTTGGGCACTTTTTTGAACAGACTGAGAAAATTAACCATCTATCATTCATTCATTTTAAGTAATTTTTAATTTTTGCCCTTTGGCATGGCATTTCTAGCAAGAAAGAGCACTCCGTTTTGTATATGAAGACTGTTCAAGCTCATATGAGAATTTACTTGAAAAGCGAAGATGCCTTCTCTGCAAGTCAGAAGAATGGGAACAATGGTAATTGAAACTTTTAGAATTGTTAATAAGCTGTCACCTGTATGTTTACAAGATTTATTAAAGGTAAAACAATCTAAAAAAAATCATATATAATAATATATTGGACATTCCAAATGTAAATCTACAAGTTTTAAATTTGCTGCTGCTACATTGTGGAAAAGTCTTCCGGACGGAAAACAGTTTCTCTCATTTCAAGAGTCTTATACAGTCCTGGAATGGTTCGGAATGCCGCTGTTCTGCATGTAGATAAGCTTTCAGTTAATTTCGATGTGCCTTTTTGTTATTATTGTCCTTTTTTTATTGCATATGCTTGCATAAATTGCTCTGCCATTTTTAGTGCTATGCTTACTTTTATGTGTGCTTTCTCTATTTTTAGGGCTATGCTTACATTTATGTGTGCTTTCTCTATTTTTAGTTTGCTTGCCTACTTTTATGTGTGCTTTCTCTATTTTTAGTTTGCTTTCATGATTTTGTTTTTATGTTGTTTTTAAAGCTTTGTCCAACCGGTTCAACCGTTTGGATATGAAATATCCGGAACCTGCACGTAATACGTTTTTAGCTATTATACATCGTATTGTTTCTTCCGGTTATGGCTACAATCACGAAAACAAACCGGGGCACATGGTCATTTTTATCTTATATTCGACGACACGAAAAGAAAACATGTACTTTAACATGTGCACGGAATAACAAATTATCTCAGCAATCTAGATTTTACAGTTCAAGTGGAAAAAAGAACGTCAATAGTCGACAGTACTGTCTTAATCTGATACAGTGAGTTTGACATTGCTTCACCTGCAGACCAGGGCCGAGTTCCTATCAGTGTAGAAACTTTGTTGTTGGCTCATTCTTTTCTTTATTATATAGTGACCTGTGGAAGTAGTTTGGTTGTCGATTTGATTATTGTTTATTTTATGACATTTGAACACGCCTTGAATAATATACAAATAATGAATTAATTACATGTACATGTACGTCTGAAGTACGTTTCAAATGTCCAGAATAATGACATGTATTTCCATTGAATATATCACAACTACGCACATAGCAATCATATTTACATTATTCAAAACAGGTACTAGTTCAGGTGATATAGCTTGACTTGTGTGCCTAGCATTGTTAGTTTATTATTTGTGATACATTGTAAAGTGACATCATGAACACTTGAAATGGGTCTCACTTAAAAGCGTCTTCAACCGACAACAAGCGTCTTAAAGTAACAACAAGCGTCACCAGACAAAATCTTCAAAAAATACTGAATAAAGTAAGCGACATCAGAAGATATGTTGTTAATATGACAATAATACACCTCTGTACCAAATTTCAATTTGATATTTGAAAAATTGACCGAGTTATGATGAATTGAATTTTTACGATCTCGGCATGGCACATGTGTGTATAAGCACGTAAAGTGAAGAAAGCGTCGCCAGATAATATCGTTAAAATTACTCTCTAGAGTAAGCGACATTGATATATATTCCAAATTTCAGCTCGATATTTGAAAACATGATTAGGTTATGATAATTTATTATTACGATCGGCGGCGTGGCATACACGAATGTACGTGTGTGAATAGAACACTACAGATCGTAAAGCGTCTTCAGACAATATCTTGAATATCAACCTATAATGTAAGCGACATCAGAAGATATGTTATTCATATAACTATGATACACCTTTATACCAAACTTCAGGTAGAAATTTGAATAAATGACTGAGTAATGATGTTTTTGATTATTACGATCGACGGCTTAGCACACGTGTGTGAATAGAACTCGACAGATTGTGAAGCGTCTTCAAACTATATCTCTAAAATTAATCAATAAGTAAGAGACATCAGAAGATATGTTATTCATACAACTATGATACACCTTTATACCAAACTTCAGGCAGATTTGTTAAAAAATGATTGAGTTATCGTGAGTTTAATGTTACGATTTTACAAAGCTATACGCCGTGTCACATATGTGTACGTAGGGTAGGGCTTCGCATAGGTGATCACAGTTAGACGGGATTACATTGTAGAACTCTCGGCCACACTCTTGAAACAAGCATGTTACCAGACCCTACGGACGTGGACGTGGTTCTACTCAAGGTCCGTTATAATTATGTTCGTGTGACTGATTGATTTAATGTTGGTGTTTAAAAAAATCCTTAAGTACCTATAAGTTTAAATGAAGGCTACACTAAATTTTAATGGTTATTGTTGTAAAGGTACAGCTGAAAAATACAATCGTTTTAAACTTCTTATGTAATAACTGGCACACAGGTGTAAATATCGGTATTTCATATAATCAAATACATTTTGTTTGTATACGTAAGAATAACTGTTCCTCTGTTCAAACTCGTAAAAAAATTAAATGTCAATAAATTTCACATCTTGAATCCCGTCCTGCAGGCACACAAGTGTTGTGAAAGCGTAAAAAAAGTTCTTCATTTAGCGTAATTGTCATCAGGTAACTAAGTTACAACTTTTGTTGTTTAACAGGACCGTGCATTTCTTAGCGATTGCAGTTTTATGTATTGTAATTAACATACCATTTGTAGATGTTAAAAAGTCTGTTTTCTTCCGCACATACTTTAGGAACTTGTCAACTTTGTGCGCTTTATCAAACGTTGACAATTCGCACCACATAACTGTGCTCAACTTGAAATGCTGTGCGTGCGCGGCCAATTCATAGTCTCCAGTACCATGCAACGATCTACGTATATTTTCCAGTCCCCTAGAAGTTTGATGATGTGATTCATCGATTCGCAAATCACCCAGATTGGAGAAGGCCAGGACTGGATTACTGGACGATGTCTTGTTCTTTGGGAAAGGGGGAGCTACATCTATATCGTAGTGATGTATTCAAGAAGTTTATGGCCTACGATGTCTCCAAAGTTTTCCTGCAGGTTGCGGGAAATGACATCACTGCAGTGATGACACTGGAGGGAATACTTTGAAACATCGACCAACTGGTTGTACGTATTTTGGAGAAGCCCGACCCCCCAACCATCATTATCGGAGTATCTTTTATAGATACCGTTCACGAGGGATGACGGCCACAGAGTATAACAACCTAGTGGAAGCCCTGAATGTAGCCCTTGCAAGGAGAATTTAGGCAGCACCCCAAGGTCCACTTCTGGTCCTTGCGGGGGCTGAGGAGCCTCAAAAGGTCCGACTTCGTTGATGGGGTTTGCCAGACAGGTTCCACTAGCGTTGTTCTGTCAAAGACAGCACTAGTCGCCTGCTTAAACGGCCCTTATGTACATACACATATTTTTTCCAGAAAGAAGACAATGTAAATTCAATAAAATGCTGTTTACAACAAATGCTTTGTTGTTTATGGTCAAATTGTATATCCTAGTCCAAAATGAATGACTATACATGATCATTTTCAAAAAAATATTTTAAAGAAACTTGAGAGACAGTGAATTATTATTATCTTTTATTTTACTTTTACAGTCTTTTAAAATATTGATTCTTTTATATGTCTGGTGCTTTTAGTTTCAAAAATATCTATAAATATCATGTCATTGATAATTTCTGTGTGAGACATTCAAGAGTGATTGCAGTCTTTCTTATACAATATTATAAACATATATATCCATTTACCATAAGATTTTTATTCATGTAGCTTATGACCAATATACCAGGTATGGACAAAAGTTTCTTTTCTAAACAATGTGCAATATCTTTTTCCTTGCAGAAAGTATGACCATGAAAACTTCCTTTGCACTCTTCTGTACCCAAAATCTGCAAGAGAAGCAGCTATTGCTATCAAAGCCTTCAATGTTGAAATTGCACAGGTGAGTAAAACAACTTCTCAATCTGTAGGTTGCTTTATGCTTATAGATAATTGATTATGTAAGGTTCTATCAACTTGTTGCATATGAAATTACCGGTTTCACATTTAATGAGTTTTTCAAAATATGGTTTTATGGAAGGATTTTATTTTCTTGTATAAAACCAATTAAATTATCAATGAATAGCCCTGATTTGTTTTTAAAGGGGCTATTTAGTCAAATGACAACCTAAAAATCGAGTAGATACTGAAAATATATACATCTCCTAACGAAATTTAAGTTTACGTAGTTGATAATGACAAAACCTGAAGCCAACGTCCAGTGTGGTCAATTTTATCCTTTGGGAAAGCCGGTGATAAAAATAGCTATGACTGAAATAGCGCAATATCCGGGCCTTTCAGTGAGAAGTTAACATGTTCAGCACTGAGCTTACGACTGACAACACAGTGTCAGTTATGAGCTGAGTTCACAAATAACACATTCTTAAATTTACACAATACATCTCAAGTAAAAATTATAAGTATCATAAAATATACCTCTAATCAGATATTTCTGTTCACATTTGGATTTGAATAAAAATGACAGGTTTAACTACGCACTGCGAGGGTGCCGCAGGGAGAATGTCAAACCGCAGAAAGTACGATATCAATAATTTAAATGGAAACTGGATCACTCATTTATAACCATGTTTGAGATGCTGTTGGAAGATGAATAAATGCAAGTACACTTGTATTCTAGAGAGGCTAGGTGAATAAAGCCAGAAGTTACCTTCTCTCCTTGACTGGAAAGACATTGTTGTTAGCTAGAAAATCACCGACAGCTGCCGCTAAAATGTATGGCTGTACAGTTAAGGATTTCTCCTTTACCGATTAAAAAGCCAAGAAAACATTGTTTCTAATCAATTTCTCTGCATGAATTGGTCATAAGGAGTACCAAACTATATTATCATAAAGAATTCTGTGACAAGATTATAAAAAACCTTACTTCACTAAATTGTCCCTTAAAAACTGACATAGCAGGATTGTTAGTTTACACAGAAGTGACTTAAATAATGGCTGATTATTTACAGACATCTAGAGTTTATTTGGCCATATAGCTACATCAGAAAGCATTTTGAAGGGCAAGGGGACAGTGATGGAATGAATTACATTTGCTATCGTTTTTAAGATATGCAGATAACAGTATACTGATAGGCTTAGTGTTAATCCATGCCACCCTTCATTTATTCATTTATGTGCACATTGAGATGAATATCTATCTATCTATCTTCTTGCTTAATGTATATGGTGATTATATGGTGATTGTAAGTCTTTTTTGTTTAACAATTTAAACTAATACTATTATCCATTATTGTAAAGCGCTTTAGATTAATTTTACAAATTATATGGGGCGCTATATAAATGTTGTATATTATCATTATTACATTAATCAGTATTAGGTAGCAGCAAATTGTCATATTCATGGACTTTGTTCTAAAATCCCTGAAAGATTTTTTTTTTAACTATATTTCATTTTTTGAAAAACACGATCACTTATCATGAGGACAGGATCTGGGGAAATCAGACCTTGTGAGTTTAATGAATGATTAGGTCCTGGTAAGTAGCTGGTACATGTTCAAATGTATGTGATTATGTCAGTGTAATACAAGCCTATACATTATACGATACTGTATACAATGTAAGTTGTTTAAACAACTTGTACCTATAGAGAGTACTACTGTCATACTGTATAACATACATTAAATACAATAATTTATACAGATATTTACATTGTAAGTTAGCATTTATGTCATGTTATGTAAAAAATCCCATTCTAATACATGTAAATAAAACAATTTGTTTTAAACTGAGATAAGATTGGTGATTTTTCTTGTTCTGATAGGTTCAAGATGTTGTCACAGACAAGCAGCGAGGGGCAATGCGAATGGTGTTTTGGAGAGACACCATAGAGAAAGTCTATCAGGTAAAGGCTATTGGTTAAGTTTCCTTTAACAGGTAAAGGCTATGTGTTAAGTTTCCTTTAACAGGTAAAGGCTATTGGTTAAGTTTCCTTTAACAAGTAAAGGTTATTGGTTAAGTTTCCTTTAACAGGTAAAGGCTATTGGTTAAGTTTCCTTTAACAGGTAAAGGCCATTGGTTAAGTTTCCTTTAACAGGTAAAAGCCATTGGTTAAGTTTCCTTTACCAGGTAAAGGCCATTGGTTAAGTTTCCTTTAACAGGTAAAGGCCATTGGTTAAGTTTCCTTTAACAGGTAAAGGCCATTGGTTAAGTTTCCTTTANCAGGTAAAGGCTATTGGTTAAGTTTCCTTTAACAGGTAAAGGCTATTGGTTAAGTTTCCTTTAACAGGTAAAGGCTATTGGTTAAGTTTCCTTTAACAGCTGAGGTCATTTATTGATGTGCCTCCAGGTGTTTAACAGTTGTTTGTGTGTCGAAGGTGGTGTGTTTCTGTATTTGTGCATACCAGTCAAATAAATTACAATGTAATACAGGATATTATAATAAGATACAATGTAATACAGGATATTATAATAAGATACAATGTAATACAGGATATTATAATAAGATACAATGTTATACAGGATATTATAAGATACAATGTAATACATGATATTATAATAAGATACAATGTAATACATGATATTATAATAAGATACAATGTAATACATGATATTATAATAAGATACAATGTTATACAGGATATGAGGCTAGTGTAATACAACAGTATGGTAATCTGCATGTTGTTCAAATGAACTGAATATTTATTTTTTAATGACTGCTGCAGGGCATCAGTGAAATCTCCTAAAGGAGATACACACTATACAAATTCAATTTAAGTGACAAACAATTTTGCTTGACCTGTTTGAAAAAAACCCATTTGAGAGTAAGAGCAAGAGATGGTAGCTATATATATAGGAGGAGGTGTTTCAATAATTTACATTATAAGTACAAAAGGTTTAATGATACCTTATGAAAAAAAACCATTTGAGTGTAAGAGCAAGAGATGGTAGCTATATATATAGGAGGAGGTGGTTCAATAATTTACATTATAAGTACAATAGGTTTAATGATACCTTATGAAAAAAAACCATTTGAGTGTAAGAGCAAGAGATGGTAGCTATATATATAGGAGGAGGTGGTTCAATAATTTACATTATAAGTACAATAGGTTTAATGATACCTTATGAAAAAAAACCATTTGAGTGTAAGAGCAAGAGATGGTAGCTATATATATAGGAGGAGGTGGTTCAATAATTTACATTATAAGTACAATAGGTTTAATGATACCTTATGAAAAAAAACCATTTGAGTGTAAGAGCAAGAGATGGTAGCTATATATATAGGAGGAGGTGGTTCAATAATTTACATTATAAGTACAATAGGTTTAATGATACCTTATGAAAAAAAACCATTTGAGTGTAAGAGCAAGAGATGGTAGCTATATATATAGGAGGAGGTGGTTCAATAATTTACATTATAAGTACAATAGGTTTAATGATACCTTATGAAAAAAAACCATTTGAGTGTAAGAGCAAGAGATGGTAGCTATATATATAGGAGGAGGTGGTTCAATAATTTACATTATAAGTACAATAGGTTTAATGATACCTTATGAAAAAAAACCATTTGAGTGTAAGAGCAAGAGATGGTAGCTATATATATAGGAGGAGGTGGTTCAATAATTTACATTATAAGTACAATAGGTTTAATGATACCTTATGAAAAAAAACCATTTGAGTGTAAGAGCAAGAGATGGTAGCTATATATATAGGAGGAGGTGGTTCAATAATTTACATTATAAGTACAATAGGTTTAATGATACCTTATGAAAAAAAACCATTTGAGTGTAAGAGCAAGAGATGGTAGCTATATATATAGGAGGAGGTGGTTCAATAATTTACATTATAAGTACAATAGGTTTAATGATACCTTATGAAAAAAAACCATTTGAGTGTAAGAGCAAGAGATGGTAGCTATATATATAGGAGGAGGTGGTTCAATAATTTACATTATAAGTACAATAGGTTTAATGATACCTTATGAAAAAAAACCATTTGAGTGTAAGAGCAAGAGATGGTAGCTATATATATAGGAGGAGGTGGTTCAATAATTTACATTATAAGTACAATAGGTTTAATGATACCTTATGAAAAAAAACCATTTGAGTGTAAGAGCAAGAGATGGTAGCTATATATATAGGAGGAGGTGGTTCAATAATTTACATTATAAGTACAATAGGTTTAATGATACCTTATGAAAAAAAACCATTTGAGTGTAAGAGCAAGAGATGGTAGCTATATATATAGGAGGAGGTGGTTCAATAATTTACATTATAAGTACAATAGGTTTAATGATACCTTATGAAAAAAAACCATTTGAGTGTAAGAGCAAGAGATGGTAGCTATATATATAGGAGGAGGTGGTTCAATAATTTACATTATAAGTACAATAGGTTTAATGATACCTTATGAAAAAAAACCATTTGAGTGTAAGAGCAAGAGATGGTAGCTATATATATAGGAGGAGGTGGTTCAATAATTTACATTATAAGTACAATAGGTTTAATGATACCTTATGAAAAAAAAACATTTGAGTGTAAGAGCAAGAGATGGTAGCTATATATATAGGAGGAGGTGGTTCAATAATTTACATTATAAGTACAATAGGTTTAATTATACCTTTATGTACCTCAGTATTGAATTGACCAGGTGTTTGATAACTATCATGTAATCATACAACTCGAGATGAAATACTAAATAAAAAAAAAGTTTTTGATATCATGATCTAGTATCTTAGTTCTGGTCGGGAAACTTGGTGTCATGTAATTATATCTGTCAGATTTATTATTGTGTCCTTTTCACTCCATTTCATCATTGATTTTACATTTCAGGGCTCTCCTCCCCAAACACCTATAGCACTGGAATTAGCCAAGGTAATACATACACCAGGGTAGAAGCTTACCTATGTATAGCGTTTCTATATTGATTAAATGTAAAGGATGGTTAGAAGATGCTGCAGTTTGTGTGAGAATTATGTTTACCTGGTGTTGCATCCTTTCAATTGTTATTGGTATCATATGTAATACAGGCAAACTGTTATTGGTATCATATGTAATACATAAGAATTGTTATTGGTATCATATGTAATACAGGTAAACTGTTGTTGGTATCATATGTAATACAGGTGAACTGTTATTGGTATCATATGTAATACAGGTGAACTGTTATTGGTATCATATGTAATACAGGCAAACTGTTATTGGTATCATATGCAATACATAAGAATTGTTATTGGTATCATATGTAATACAGGTAGACTGTTGTTGGTATCATATGTAATACAGGTGAACTGTTATTGGTATCATATGTAATACAGGTGAACTGTTATTGGTATCATATGTAATACAGGTGAACTGTTATTGGTATCATATGTAATACAGGCGAATTGTTATTGGTATCATATGTAATAAAGGTAAACTGTTATTGGTATCATATGTTATACAGGCGAACTGTTATTGGTATCATATGTAATACAGGTAAACTGTTATTGGTATCATATGTAATACAGGTGAACTGTTATTGGTATCATATGTAATACAGGTGAACTGTTATTGGTATCATATGTAATACAGGCGAATTGTTATTGGTATCATATGTAATACAGGTAAACTGTTATTGGTATCATATGTTATACAGACGAACTGTTATTGGTATCATATGTTATACAGGTGAACTGTTGTTGGTATCATATGTAATACAGGTGAACTGTTGTTGGTATCATATGTAATACAGGTGAACTGTTGTTGGTATCATATGTAATATAGGTGAACTGTTATTGGTATCATATGTAATACAGGTGAACTGTTGTTGGTATCATATGTAATACAGGTGAACTGTTATTGGTATCATATGTAATACAGGTGAATTGTTATTGGTATCATATGTAATACAGGCGAACTGTAATTGGTATCATATGTAATACAGGCGAACTGTTATTGAAGATCATATTTTGGTGAAACATAGTGTACCAATTATTATGTATGGCATAATTTCAATAACTGTTTGTCTTGAACAGACTTCCATTTGTGAAGTTTTGCTGTTTTAGGTGATATCAGAGCACAAGCTGACAAAACAGTGGTTCATGAGAAGCATAGATGCCAGGGTGAGTATATTGAATGTCTGAGATGTAGGTATGCCAGGGTAAGTATATTGATAGTCTGAGATGTATATATGCCAGGGTGAGTATATTGACAGTCTGAGATGTAGGTATGTCAGGGCGAGTATATTGATAGTCTGAGATGTAGATATGCCAGGGTGAGTATATTGACAGTCTGAGATGTAGATATGTCAGGGTGAGTATATTGATAGTCTGAGATGTATAGATGCCAGGGTGAGTATATTGATAGTCTGAGATGGAGATATGCCAGGGGGAGGATATTGACAGTCTGGGATGTAGATATGCCAGGGAGAGTATATTGACAGTCTGCGATGTAGATATGTCAGGGTTAGTATATTGATAGTCTGTGATGTATAGACGTCAGGGTGAGTATATTGTTAGTCTGAGATGTATAGAAGCCAGGGGGGGGATATTTACAGTCTGGGATGTAGGGATGTCAGGGTGAGTATATTGCCAGTCTGAGATGTAGATGTGGCAGGGGGAGTATCTATTGATAGTCTGAGATGTATAGATGCCAGGGTGAGTATATTGACAGTCTGAGATGTAGATATGGCAGGGGGGGGGTCTTTTGATAGTCTGAGATGTAGATATGCCAGGGGGAGTATATTTACAGTCTGAGATGTAGATATGGCAGGGGGGGGGTCTTTTGATAGTCTGAGATGTAGATATGCCAGGGGGAGTATATTTACAGTCTGAGATGTAGATATGGCAGGGGGGGGGTCTTTTGATAGTCTGAGATGTAGATATGCCAGGGGGAGTATATTTACAGTCTGAGATGTAGATATGGCAGGGGGGGGGTCTTTTGATAGTCTGAGATGTAGATATGCCAGGGGGAGTATATTTACAGTCTGAGATGTAGATATGGCAGGGGGGGGATCTATTTATAGTCTGAGATGTAGATATGGCAGGGGGAGTGTCTATTGATAGTCTGAGATGTAGATATGGCAGGGGGAGTATCTATTGATAGTCTGAGATGTAGATATGCCAGGGTGAGTATATTGATAGTCTGAGATGTATAGACGCCAGGGTGAGTCTCCATAATAGATTATCAGTAATAATTGCAATGACTCAAATTACACTTTAATACAAAATAATGAGCAGCCTCCTTATAGTACGTGCTTGCTCTTCACTCAAGCTTTCATTTCTTGTAGGCAAACCGTCTGGAGATTGACTCTTTCAAATCTGTGAATGACCTGGAAGATTATTGTGAAAATTCTGTATCGTCAGTCATGTACCTGATGCTGGAAAGTTTAGGTAAGACCCAGTCTAGTACCTGTAGATAGTTAGTGAAGATGTGATCTGACCATATATGTTGATAGTGTTGCTGGGGTCGGACCATACCTGTGGGTGATCTATAGAGCTTCAATCTAGTTAATTATAATGATGTGGCTGTAAATGTATAGATTTGTTTGATGTGTGTGTATGTGTATGTGAACACTAACCCTGTACAGACCTGGTACCTCCAAGTTGATCCTGTGATTGCTGTTGTCCAGGTATAAAGGACCTGCATGCTGACCATGCTGCCAGTCACATAGGACGTGCCCATGGTTTAGTGACCTACCTGAGAGCGATCCCATTTAACACCAGTCGAGGCAGAGTCAATCTACCTACAGATTTACTTATAAAGGTAAATATTTCTGAAATGATTTAAAAGATTTTATGGTGATTTCTCCCATAACCTTACCCCTAAACAATGTGTAACATCTCCAAGGTATTGGTCAGACTGTGCTGTTACCAACAACTGAATGGCAACCTCAACACATTTTTAGCTAATTTCAAATCCTTAAGTCGAGGAGAGATCCATACCAGTGTATCGAACGGGACTGGATCAATTGCCAGTGACCTGAGGTAGCTCGATCAATTGGTTAGAGCATCCAACTAGAGTTCAGAGGGTCCTGGGTTCGATCCCTAATCTGGCTGTGCATTGTTCCTCTCCTGTTGTACCAGATTCAACTGGTCTAGATTAGTAGTCTTTGATAGTAATGTAGTAAATGTATGAAACCATCACATCTATAAACCCACTTTTTTCCATTTGTAACCAGACAAACATCGTACTCTAGACACAAGATTATATTTACGTTTGTTTTTTATCAGTATGGTGTGTCACAAGAAGATGTGTATAGAGGCAAGAAGCCTGAACTTGTCAATGACATTGTGTACGACATCGCTAGTGTGGCCATTCAGCATCTTCGCACTGTAAGTAAAACCGCCACCAACAGTAGCAATGGAAATTTTATCTCAGTTCCTAACCCATTTACATGTAATAGGCTGGAATGAGCAGTACATGCACAGGGACATGGATTGCTTTACTTGTAATATTAAAAAATAGGGGGCTCCCCTACTAATTAGTATAGGAGACCCCTATTTTTTAATATTACAAGTAAAGCGATCCATGCCCCTGTGAGTACATGTACACATTTGTGGTGTTTTTCAGTTTCAAATTCTCCAAAAAGTACTGCATATTTTAACAATGTAAGCATACTAAATCATTATAAAGGACATTCAAATAGTAAGGTTTGACTTCCAAATAGTCACACATGTACAGGGTGAAACTGCCAAATAGTCACACATGTACAGGGTGAAACTGCCAAATAGTCACACATGTACAGGGTGAAACTGCCAAATAGTCACACATGTACAGGGTGAAACTGCCAAATAGTCACACATGTACAGGGTGAAACTGCCAAATAGTCACACATGTACAGGGTGAAACTGCCAAATAGTCACACATGTACAGGGTGAAACTGCCAAATAGTCACACATGTACAGGGTGAAACTGCCAAATAGTCACACATGTACAGGGTGAAACTGCCAAATAGTCACACATGTACAGGGTGAAACTGCCAAATAGTCACACATGTACAGGGTGAAACTGCCAAATAGTCACACATGTACAGGGTGAAACTGCCAAATAGTCACACATGTACAGGGTGAAACTGCCAAATAGTCACACATGTACAGGGTGAAACTGCCAAATAGTCACACATGTACAGGGTGAAACTGCCAAATAGTCACACATGTACAGGGTGAAACTGCCAAATAGTCACACATGTACAGGGTGAAACTGCCAAATAGTCACACATGTACAGGGTGAAACTGCCAAATAGTCACACATGTACAGGGTGAAACTGCCAAATAGTCACACATGTACAGGGTGAAACTGCCAAATAGTCACACATGTACAGGGTGAAACTGCCAAATAGTCACACATGTACAGGGTGAAACTGCCAAATAGTCACACATGTACAGGGTGAAACTGCCAAATAGTCACACATGTACAGGGTGAAACTGCCAAATAGTCACACATGTACAGGGTGAAACTGCCAAATAGTCACACATGTACAGGGTGAAACTGCCAAATAGTCACACATGTACAGGGTGAAACTGCCAAATAGTCACACATGTACAGGGTGAAACTGCCAAATAGTCACACATGTACAGGGTGAAACTGCCAAATAGTCACACATGTACAGGGTGAAACTGCCAAATAGTCACACATGTACAGGGTGAAACTGCCAAATAGTCACACATGTACAGGGTGAAACTGCCAAATAGTCACACATGTACAGGGTGAAACTGCCAAATAGTCACACATGTACAGGGTGAAACTGCCAAATAGTCACACATGTACAGGGTGAAACTGCCAAATAGTCACACATGTACAGGGTGAAACTGCCAAATAGTCACACATGTACAGGGTGAAACTGCCAAATAGTCACACATGTACAGGGTGAAACTGCCAAATAGTCACACATGTACAGGGTGAAACTGCCAAATAGTCACACATGTACAGGGTGAAACTGCCAAATAGTCACACATGTACAGGGTGAAACTGCCAAATAGTCACACATGTACAGGGTGAAACTGCCAAATAGTCACACATGTACAGGGTGAAACTGCCAAATAGTCACACATGTACAGGGTGAAACTGCCAAATAGTCACACATGTACAGGGTGAAACTGCCAAATAGTCACACATGTACAGGGTGAAACTGCCAAATAGTCACACATGTACAGGGTGAAACTGCCAAATAGTCACACATGTACAGGGTGAAACTGCCAAATAGTCACACATGTACAGGGTGAAACTGCCAAATAGTCACACATGTACAGGGTGAAACTGCCAAATAGTCACACATGTACAGGGTGAAACTGCCAAATAGTCACACATGTACAGGGTGAAACTGCCAAATAGTCACACATGTACAGGGTGAAACTGCCAAATAGTCACACATGTACAGGGTGAAACTGCCAAATAGTCACACATGTACAGGGTGAAACTGCCAAATAGTCACACATGTACAGGGTGAAACTGCCAAATAGTCACACATGTACAGGGTGAAACTGCCAAATAGTCACACATGTACAGGGTGAAACTGCCAAATAGTCACACATGTACAGGGTGAAACTGCCAAATAGTCACACATGTACAGGGTGAAACTGCCAAATAGTCACACATGTACAGGGTGAAACTGCCAAATAGTCACACATGTACAGGGTGAAACTGCCAAATAGTCACACATGTACAGGGTGAAACTGCCAAATAGTCACACATGTACAGGGTGAAACTGCCAAATAGTCACACATGTACAGGGTGAAACTGCCAAATAGTCACACATGTACAGGGTGAAACTGCCAAATAGTCACACATGTACAGGGTGAAACTGCCAAATAGTCACACATGTACAGGGTGAAACTGCCAAATAGTCACACATGTACAGGGTGAAACTGCCAAATAGTCACACATGTACAGGGTGAAACTGCCAAATAGTCACACATGTACAGGGTGAAACTGCCAAATAGTCACACATGTACAGGGTGAAACTGCCAAATAGTCACACATGTACAGGGTGAAACTGCCAAATAGTCACACATGTACAGGGTGAAACTGCCAAATAGTCACACATGTACAGGGTGAAACTGCCAAATAGTCACACATGTACAGGGTGAAACTGCCAAATAGTCACACATGTACAGGGTGAAACTGCCAAATAGTCACACATGTACAGGGTGAAACTGCCAAATAGTCACACATGTACAGGGTGAAACTGCCAAATAGTCACACATGTACAGGGTGAAACTGCCAAATAGTCACACATGTACAGGGTGAAACTGCCAAATAGTCACACATGTACAGGGTGAAACTGCCAAATAGTCACACATGTACAGGGTGAAACTGCCAAATAGTCACACATGTACAGGGTGAAACTGCCAAATAGTCACACATGTACAGGGTGAAACTGCCAAATAGTCACACATGTACAGGGTGAAACTGCCAAATAGTCACACATGTACAGGGTGAAACTGCCAAATAGTCACACATGTACAGGGTGAAACTGCCAAATAGTCACACATGTACAGGGTGAAACTGCCAAATAGTCACACATGTACAGGGTGAAACTGCCAAATAGTCACACATGTACAGGGTGAAACTGCCAAATAGTCACACATGTACAGGGTGAAACTGCCAAATAGTCACACATGTACAGGGTGAAACTGCCAAATAGTCACACATGTACAGGGTGAAACTGCCAAATAGTCACACATGTACAGGGTGAAACTGCCAAATAGTCACACATGTACAGGGTGAAACTGCCAAATAGTCACACATGTACAGGGTGAAACTGCCAAATAGTCACACATGTACAGGGTGAAACTGCCAAATAGTCACACATGTACAGGGTGAAACTGCCAAATAGTCACACATGTACAGGGTGAAACTGCCAAATAGTCACACATGTACAGGGTGAAACTGCCAAATAGTCACACATGTACAGGGTGAAACTGCCAAATAGTCACACATGTACAGGGTGAAACTGCCAAATAGTCACACATGTACAGGGTGAAACTGCCAAATAGTCACACATGTACAGGGTGAAACTGCCAAATAGTCACACATGTACAGGGTGAAACTGCCAAATAGTCACACATGTACAGGGTGAAACTGCCAAATAGTCACACATGTACAGGGTGAAACTGCCAAATAGTCACACATGTACAGGGTGAAACTGCCAAATAGTCACACATGTACAGGGTGAAACTGCCAAATAGTCACACATGTACAGGGTGAAACTGCCAAATAGTCACACATGTACAGGGTGAAACTGCCAAATAGTCACACATGTACAGGGTGAAACTGCCAAATAGTCACACATGTACAGGGTGAAACTGCCAAATAGTCACACATGTACAGGGTGAAACTGCCAAATAGTCACACATGTACAGGGTGAAACTGCCAAATAGTCACACATGTACAGGGTGAAACTGCCAAATAGTCACACATGTACAGGGTGAAACTGCCAAATAGTCACACATGTACAGGGTGAAACTGCCAAATAGTCACACATGTACAGGGTGAAACTGCCAAATAGTCACACATGTACAGGGTGAAACTGCCAAATAGTCACACATGTACAGGGTGAAACTGCCAAATAGTCACACATGTACAGGGTGAAACTGCCAAATAGTCACACATGTACAGGGTGAAACTGCCAAATAGTCACACATGTACAGGGTGAAACTGCCAAATAGTCACACATGTACAGGGTGAAACTGCCAAATAGTCACACATGTACAGGGTGAAACTGCCAAATAGTCACACATGTACAGGGTGAAACTGCCAAATAGTCACACATGTACAGGGTGAAACTGCCAAATAGTCACACATGTACAGGGTGAAACTGCCAAATAGTCACACATGTACAGGGTGAAACTGCCAAATAGTCACACATGTACAGGGTGAAACTGCCAAATAGTCACACATGTACAGGGTGAAACTGCCAAATAGTCACACATGTACAGGGTGAAACTGCCAAATAGTCACACATGTACAGGGTGAAACTGCCAAATAGTCACACATGTACAGGGTGAAACTGCCAAATAGTCACACATGTACAGGGTGAAACTGCCAAATAGTCACACATGTACAGGGTGAAACTGCCAAATAGTCACACATGTACAGGGTGAAACTGCCAAATAGTCACACATGTACAGGGTGAAACTGCCAAATAGTCACACATGTACAGGGTGAAACTGCCAAATAGTCACACATGTACAGGGTGAAACTGCCAAATAGTCACACATGTACAGGGTGAAACTGCCAAATAGTCACACATGTACAGGGTGAAACTGCCAAATAGTCACACATGTACAGGGTGAAACTGCCAAATAGTCACACATGTACAGGGTGAAACTGCCAAATAGTCACACATGTACAGGGTGAAACTGCCAAATAGTCACACATGTACAGGGTGAAACTGCCAAATAGTCACACATGTACAGGGTGAAACTGCCAAATAGTCACACATGTACAGGGTGAAACTGCCAAATAGTCACACATGTACAGGGTGAAACTGCCAAATAGTCACACATGTACAGGGTGAAACTGCCAAATAGTCACACATGTACAGGGTGAAACTGCCAAATAGTCACACATGTACAGGGTGAAACTGCCAAATAGTCACACATGTACAGGGTGAAACTGCCAAATAGTCACACATGTACAGGGTGAAACTGCCAAATAGTCACACATGTACAGGGTGAAACTGCCAAATAGTCACACATGTACAGGGTGAAACTGCCAAATAGTCACACATGTACAGGGTGAAACTGCCAAATAGTCACACATGTACAGGGTGAAACTGCCAAATAGTCACACATGTACAGGGTGAAACTGCCAAATAGTCACACATGTACAGGGTGAAATGGCCAAATAGTCACACATGTACAGGGCAAAACTGCCGAATAGTGACACATGTACAGGGTGAAATGGCCAAATAGTCACACATGTACAGGGCGAAACTGCCAAATAGTCACACATGTACAGGGTGAAATGGCCAAATAGTCACACATGTACAGGGCGAAATGGCCAAATAGTCACACATGTACAGGGCAAAACTGCTAAATAGTCACACATGTACAGGGTGAAATTATCAAAGTTCAATAGATTTGATAGTTTATTTCTATATATGCATTAAAGTGAACATTTTTATGAAATTTAAATCTGGACCAAGGCCTTAAAAACGTGCCATATCCATTGTTTGAATCTTAGTTCATCTTGTTTTATTAATATTGCTACATTTAATATTTCGGAGTATTTGGATTCAAAGTTCAGATTCTTTTGTCCATAACACTCGATGCATATTGATTACATTTCATGATCATCAGAAGCTAATGCATGACATCAAGAGATCAAATTGATAATATGTAATATCCCTGCAGCTCTCTGAAGAAATCTATGGATATTCAGAAGCATTTAATTACCCCAATAACACATTATTATCAGTTTGTAGCATCCTCATTGCTTTTGTAATAAATGTGCCACAAATGGTATAAAATGTATATTTTGAGTCAGGAAATTATGCAACAATTATAGAATAAAAATTTGTGGAAGATGAAAAAAAGCATATTGTTTCTGATTTCTAGGCTAGGTCTTTGAAGAAAGACGTTCCCAAGTCTGCAGTACCAACGTTTTTGAATACTGTATGTATGCAATCATTTCAGCAACATGATACTTTCTTTCATTTATATGCACCATAAGATAACAATCCTAACATAGATAATTTGTCCAGGAAACCACCGCTTGTTTTCATTGTCTGTGATCAAAGTATTGTCATGATTGTACAAAATACTTTTCTGGATGTGTCCACAGATAGCATTATCAAAGTAATGGACACATGTCAAAGGTCAATCCCAAACCATGCACATACAGTGAATCATTGAAAAAGAGAATTTAATAAGAAAAGGACATACTTTCATTTTTGGTGATAACATTTTACACTTCTGTATCACAACAAGAATTGCATATTGTGAAATTTAAATATTTATGCAGCAAAATATTACATGAAAAAGACAGTGTGTCTGTTAATAAATGACGTGTTTTGCTGTTGAAGGTGATATGTGAGAAGTACCTGACAGATATTCAACAGGCTGGTTTTAATGTGTTTGACACTAAACTACAAAGGAAAAATGGCCTCCTTCCTATACAGCTGTTGCTCCAGAGAATGAAGAGAACGTACTAGTGTGAGAGAATCATGGTGTGGTAGCACTCATTTCTGGTGATAATAAATTAATACAAAAACTGAAGCGTTCATTTTTTGTTGTGGTTTTCTTTGTGAACTTTTTATCTAAGCATGATGTACAGTGGAAGGACTCCTCATCCACCGACAGTCTTCCTCCCATCGACTGGGTGTTTATATATCTGTTGTACAGCTCCTAGATAAACGGTCTATAAATGTTGTTATAAACATATAACCCCACCTATTACGTCTGGATGTTTTCCTATCCGAGACTGTTCAGGTCTTTCCCTAATAGTCTAATACAATGTACTGTTAAAGTTGCATGGAACCAATCATGGCGTGACATCAAATTTAAATCATAATAAATAACTCTGAATGGTTTCTGATTGACGTTTGTAGTGTGATGGAATTGTTACCATAGAAACACAAGCTTGGTCCTGTAGCCATGGTTGTTCCACCATAAGGTCGCACATTGAAAATGTAACATAAACCGAAATAAAAGACCAAGAAAGATGATTTGCAAAGATATTGTATGTCATGTAATCTGTTTAAATAAAACTGTGTTGCATACCATCACAAATGTTGAAAATATGCACTCTAGGCCTTATCCATGCTGATGTTCTTAACAAGAGCGGCCTACAGAATTATAACAGACATCAGACAAAAGTTCTTTGCATAGAGACATGACTAACTGATTATTATTATTTTTTTGCTAACTCAAAATCCAAGTTAAAATTCATGTGTTTGAGGGACATATCTAACAAGTGTATTTTACCTAAGGTAACTAGTTTCACAAAGTTGATATTCAGCAAACCTGGTACAAATGATGTGTTAAGAGGTGATATTTATTTGGCTGATGACTAGAAAGGACAATCTACAACACAGCAATACATATAGAGGATTTATTGATACATGTAATTCCATTTTAAATAATGTGAAATAGGAAAGACAAAACATAACAAACAACTTTTTGAAAAATGTTTAACATTAAAGTACAAATTGCACACAAGGAGACAGTATCACAGAGTTACAACACTGTCACCAAAGTATCACAGAGTTACAACACTGTAACCAAACTATCACTGAGTTACAGCACTGTAACCAAAGTATACTGCCACCTTTCATCTGGTTGTGCCACTATACTGCCACCTTTTATCTGGTTGTGCAGCTATACTGCCACCTTTTATCTGGTTGTGCAACTATACTGCCACCTTTTATCAGGCTGTACCAATATACTGCCACCTTTTATCTGTCTGTACCAATATACTGCCACCTTTTATCAGGTTGTACCAATATACTGCCACCTTTTATCAGGCTGTACCAATATCCTGCCTCCTTTTATCTGGCTGTACCAATATTCTGCCACCTTTTATCAGGTTGCACCAATATACTGCCACCTTTTATCAGGCTGTACCAATATACTGCCACCTTTTATCAGGCTGTGCCACTATACTGCCACCTTTTATCAGGTTGTACCAATATACTGCCACCTTTTATCTGTCTGTACCAATATACTGCCACCTTTTATCTGGTTGTGCCAATATACTGCCACCTTTTATCTGGCTGTACCAATATACTGCCACCTTTTATCTGTCTGTACCAATATACTGTCACGTTTTATCAGGCTGTACCAATATACTGCCACCTTTTATGTATCTGTACCAATATACTGCCACCATTTATTAGGTTTTACCAATATACTGCCACCTTTTATCAGGTTGTCCCAATATACTGCCCCCTTTTATCTGTCTGTACCAATATACTGTCACCTTTTGTCAGGCTGTACCAATATACTGCCACCTTTTATCTATCTGTACCACTATACTGCCACCATTTATTAGGTTGTACCAATATACTGCCACCTTTTATCTGTCTGTACCAATATACTGCCACCTTTTATCAGGCTGTACCAATATACTGCCACCTTTTATCTATCTGTACCAATATACTGCCACCATTTATTAGGTTGTACCAATATACTGCCACCTTTTATCAGGTTGTACCAATATACTGCCACCTTTTATCTGTCTGTACCAATATACTGCCACCTTTTATCAGGCTGTACCAATATACTGCCACCTTTTATCTGGTTGGAGCACTGTACTGCGATACTGCCAGCACCTAACTGGCTACATATTTGCAGCTGTAAATTATGCAGTTGTCCTACTATCAAGCCGGTGATTTAGGAGGCAATGTAGTATTTTATTGCAAATTTGTTGAGGTAATCCAGCTTTGTCACAATCCTGCCACTTTTTCTAGGAATCAGTGGGTTGATGGTGGCACTGATACACATTAACTTAATCATAAAATAGCATACATGATTATTTTAGGCATCTACGTTCCAATACTGAACAACCATCAGGGTCACTCATCAAATATATATCCGAGTCCTGTCCAGCCCTCAAACACACAGGCTGCTTCTGTTGATGTATGATTTTGACACTAAATGGGTTCATATTGATTGTCTATCAGTCGGGGAATATAGCCTAAACATGATCTACATGCCAGGAATACACAAAGTTAATACATCCAGTTCAGTCACACGTCTAACCTGTATGTCTCTTCACTTCTTGTTTTAGACAAAATAATATCTTTTTTATATATTTTTAGCACAGTTTAGATCTAAGGTCACTTTTTTGTGAGGTCAAGGTCACTTTGCCCACTTGCCATAGCCGGGTCGTATACCACGATAGTTAATCACATCGACCACAACACCGTGTTTGAATTCATTCCACTCTCGCTTTAGTTCTTGGTGCATGTATTCATCCTGGATATTATCCTGTAATGTGAAAACAACCAATTATGTAAAACTGTATGGTAATTATGGTAAAAGAGAAAATTTTGCGTGTGGCAATGTTTGAGTTGTCATCATTTAAATTGACCATGATGTGGATATTTTTGCATTGACATTTGTTCTAAATTCTATATAATCTACGTGTCTTTAATCTCTTTTATTATTAAATAAATATTTGTGTGGCGACATTTTCGCACAAAGTTTCTCAACGCAAAAAGAAAATACAAAAATGTCCTCAATGCAGAAAGATCCTCTCCAAACTAGACCTGCTCCCGCTCTAATGTTTGATAATTACACTGCATCCTTAACAAATGCTGACACGCATAAAGTAAATGATTCCTCAGGCACTAAAATCTCATACCGGTAGATGACAACATGTGTTACAATGCTAAATAAGACACAAATAGCCTCAGATCATTTACTGGTAATAGTCTAATTTGGGAAAAAATCTTCAATTTCAATTTGAGAAGCAGTTGATAATGATTTAATTATTTGTGAGCTGCTCACACCTTCTAGAAGTTTTATTTACCTTTGATAGATCTCCAAACGTCCTCACATTTGATTGCTTGAATAACTGGATAGTCACTTCATCTAGTTCTGTAACGACATCAGATATATGTACAAGTCAAACAAGAAATCGCCATACATATCATTGTGATGCTTATCCTTGGCATCAGGCATGACAGGTTTACTATATTGTATGTAACTTCATAGAAAATCCCAAGATAATGTTCTATATATATTTTGGATCTGTGCCTTCAAGGTCAAAGCCACAGGGAGTAGGTCAAATCAATGGGATACTTGTCCAGGCCATCACTTTAAAAAGATAAATATTTAAAATGAAAGCTGTCTGGTTTGTGACTATGAACAAGGTCCATACTTTTTATGAACTGCCCAACTGGACACACCACAGCTGGTATATCACAGACAGCTGTTGATTCTGTACCACCAAGGTCACATCACGTGGTCAAAGTCAGATAACGGTAAATAGTTCTGAACGGTTCCATACTTTTAGCTGAAATTTCATAGTTGGATGTATCATGACTCATGTACTAGTATGTATTGTCAACATCAAGGTCATGGCAAGACGCCAAAGGTCAACCCTTCCAATCCATGTCCAGTTTTCTAAAACTTCAAAAAATTATTCATATTTTTATTTAGTATACTTGGTTTGATTATGCCATTTGTATGTTGGTATCAAACAGAACATACCCCTGGTAATCTCCTTTGATATGGCTGGTGTGATATGTGCAACACAAGTGGTAGATATGAACTTACCTTCAATTCTCTCTGGTTTCATTTTGTGTGTAACAGGAGCGAGACGGGCCCAGTTTATTATGAACAAACTACCACCGGCTCGCTACCTTTTCCTCACAACCCAGGTTCAAACTGGGTAGCTTTTTTCTGCTGGTGAAGGTAATAACTCAACTCCGGGATGTGATACAATAACAGTATTTATCAACAGAGATACATGAAGCAATGGAACATGAACAATACAGGCCTAGATGAGAACACATAAACCCCTAACAAGTTGCCGAGACGACCCACCCAACCCTACATAGTACTAGGCTACTAGGCTAACATCCACCCGACATTCCCAACCTTATCTATCTATACATGAACTATCTTAAATCCGCTATTCTTACATTACAGTACCTACTATCCCTACAGAAGTCTATGGCAGTCGTAGCAGGAAACCAATCCTTCACTCGGCGCTAAAACCGAAAGTAACACGTACCCCACTATATAGCAACATTCACAATACAAAACTCTCGACCAATGAAAACATAGTGCTGTCGCAGACACAGGCAGAGACAGAAAAGCATGAAATCACAGACAGGTAAACTGACAACACCCAGCACTGGACTGGTACACGTGGACAGGACACCACAACAGACAGAGGTCGGGTGACACCAGTGCACCCTGGCCTCCATGTAGTACAGTAACTACACTACATGACCCCTGTCTGACACATAGAACACATAGACTATATACAACAAGAATCCCCCCGCTACATGTGTAACATTAGTGGTAGATATGAACTTACCTTCGATTTTCTCTGGTTTCATTATGTGTAACATTAGTGGTAGATATGAACTTACCTTCAACTCTCTCTGGTTTTATTATGTGTAACATTAGTTATAGATATGAACTTACCTTCGATTCTCTCTGGTTTTATTATGTGTAACATTAGTGGTAGATATGAACTTACCTTCGATTTTCTCTGGTTTCATTATGTGTAACATTAGTGATAGATATAAACTTACCTTCGATTCTCTCTGGTTTTATTATGTGTAACATTAGTGGTAGATATGAACTTACCTTCGACTCTCTCTGGTTTTATTATGCCCAGCTGTACATTGGTAGCTGTCACTATAGAGCAGGTGATTGGTTCATCAAGGAGAATGCTTAGCTCAGCAAATGACTCCGAGTCATTCAGCTTCCCCATCACTACCTGTTTGGTTCTCCTCTCCTGTATCAAGTAAGGATTTATCTATTGTTATATACAACCCTCAGGCAAGGTTTAGGACCATAATACATAAAAACCTCTTATTGACTAAAACCTGATTAACTAACATGTCTGATTGACAATATTCATATAAACTAACATATCTAATTGATTTAACCTGATAAACTAATACCTTTGATTGACTAAGACCTTATTAACATGTCTTATTGACTAAAACCTTATTAACATGTCTTATTGACTAAAATCTGATAAACTAACACCTCTTACTGACTAAAACCATGATTAACTGATAGATCTGATAAACTAACACCTCTAACTGAATAAAACCATGCTTAATTGATAGATCTGATAAACTAGCACCTCTAACTGACTAAAGCCATGATAAACTGATAGATCTGATAAACTGACACCTCTAACTGACTAAAGCCATGTTTAGCCGATAGATCTGATAAACTAACACCTCTAACTGACTAAAGCCATGTTTAACCGATAGATCTGATAAACTAACACCTCTAACTGAATAAAACCATGCTTAACTGATAGATCTGATAAATTAATACCTCTAACTGACTAAAACCATGATTAACTGATAGATCTGATAAACTAACACCTCTAACTGACTAAAACTATGATTAACTGATAGATCTGATAAGTTAACACCTCTAACTGACTAAAGCCATGTTTAACCGATAGATCTGATAAACTAATACCTCTAACTGAATAAAACCATGATTAACTGATACATCTAATAAACTAACACCTCTAACTGACTAAAGCCATGTTTAACTGATAGATCTGATAAACTAACACCTCTGACTAAAACCATGATTAACTGATAGATCTGATAAGTTAACACCTCTAACTGACTAAAGCCATGTTTAACTGATAGATCTGATAAACTAACACCTCTAACTGACTAAAACTATGATTAACTGATAGATCTGATAAACTAACACCTCTAACTGACTAAAGCCATGTTTAACTGATACATCTGATAAACTAATACCTCTAACTGAATAAAACCATGTTTAACTGATAGATCTGATAAACTAATACCTTTGATTGACTAAAAACATGATTAACTGATAGATCTGATAAACTAATACCTCTAACTGAATAAAACCATGTTTAACTGATAGATCTGATAAACTAACACCTCTAACTGACTAAAGCCATGTTTAACTGATACATCTGATAAACTAATACCTCTGACTGACTACAGCCATGATTAACTGATACATCTGATAAACTAATACCTCTGACTGACTTAAACCTGATTAGCTAACTAAAGGTTTATGCAGATGAATTTGTGTTAGAGACAAAAAGATTTTTTAATAAAAACATTTTAGAAGTAAAAACATCCTTTTCATGCACATGTATATAACTTTCATGCTCCTGCAATCCACCCGTGGACATAACGTCATAATTACGTCATAACAGCATCAATGTACCATAAAAAGAAGGTTGTTATTTTATGAGACATTTTCACTGGTTTGTTGGATATGCAGATTCACTTTAGGTTACTCTAGATACTATGAAAAAAATCACTCTTTGAAAAGTGACCTGTATAATGATGCATTTAATTTTTGGTAAAAAAAATAATGAAATAACTTAAAATCCTTTCGGTAAAATAAAGTGGCTGTAAAATAGACTTACCCTTTTGGCATGTTTCTCTGACATGACTTCTACTTGTCTGAGGACGTGGCATTCCCCTGACTTAATAAACCCTATGTATGGGGCCTTGTACCCTTCACTGGCAAGTACTGGAACAGAAAACAGGTATCTGTCATCATAAAGCTTCATGATACTGTGTTTAAGTTGAGTGTGAAAACCTATATTATATCTCCAAAAGCTTTAAAGCTAAGATTTGTGTTTTCTAAACACAAAGGAAGACGCCATGCTCATTACACCAGGTACACGTTACCCACACTACCCTAGAACTGTACTCATTATTCACACTACCCTAGACCTGTACTCATTATTCACACTACCCTAGAACTGTACTCATTACTCACACTACCCTAGAACTGTACTCATTACTCACACTACCCTAGAACTGTACTCGTTACCCACACTACCCTAGAATTATACTCATTACCCACACTACCCTAGAACTGTACTCATTACCCACACTACCCTAGAACTGTACTCATTACTCACAGTACCCTAGAACTGTACTCGTTACCCACACTACCCTAGAACTGTACTCATTACCCACACTACCCTAGAACTGTACTCATTACCCACACTACCCTAGAACTGTACTCGTTACCCACACTACCCTAGAACTGTACTCATTACCCACACTACCCTAGAACTGTACTCATTACTCACACTACCCTAGAGCTGTACTCGTTACCGACACTACCCTAGAACTGTACTCGTTACCCACACTACCCTAGAACTGTACTCATTACCCACACTACCCTAGAACTGTACTCATTACCCACACTACCCTAGAACTGTACTCGTTACCCACACTACCCTAGAACTGTACTCATTACCCACACTACCCTAGAACTGTACTCATTATTCACACTACCCTAGAACTGTACTCATTATTCACATTACCCTAGAACTGTACTCATTACCCACACTCCCCTAGAACTGTACTCGTTACCCCCACTACCCTAGAACTGTACTCGTTAGCCACACTACCCTAGAACTGTACTCGTTAGCCACACTACCCTAGAACTGTACTGGTTACCCACACTACCCTAGAACTTTACTCGTTACCCACACTACCCTAGCACTGTAATCGTTACCCACACTACCCTAGAACTACTCGTTACCCACACTACCCTAGAACTGAACTCATTACCCACACTACCCTAGAACTGGACTCGTTACCCACACTACCCTAGAACTACTCGTTACCCACACTACCCTAGAATTATACTCATTACCCACAATACACTAGAACTGTACTCATTATTCACACTACCCTAGAACTGTACTCAATACCTACACTACCCTAGAACTGTACTCATTACCCACACTACCCTAGAACTGAACTCATTACCCACACTACCCTAGAAATGTACTCGTTACCCACACTACCCGAGAACTGTACTCATTACCCACACTACCCTAGAAATGTACTCGTTACCCACACTACCCTTGAACTGTACTCGTTACCCACACTCCCCTAGAACTGTACTCATTCCCCACCCTCCCCTAGAACTGTACTCGTTACCCATACTACCCTAGAACTGTACTCAATACTCACACTACCCTAGAACTGTACCCATTACCCACACTACCCTAGAACTGGACTCGTTACCCACACTACCCTAGCACTGTAATCGTTACCCACACTACCCTAGAACTACTCGTTACCCACACTACCCTAGAATTATACTCATTACCCACAATACACTAGAACTGTACTCATTATTCACATTACCCTAGAACTGTACTCATTACCCACACTCCCCTAGAACTGTACTCGTTACCCACACTCCCCTAGAACTGTACTCATTCCCCACCCTCCCCTAGAACTGTACTCGTTACCCCCACTACCCTAGAACTGTACTCGTTACCCACACTACCCTAGAACTGTGTACTTACTGGTGTTTGGAGGACACGATATCCACTCGATTAATTCAGCCACCTGTAAGAGAGGTTGGCGAGGCCAGAGTTTGTACTGGCCACATGATAACAGGAGGTTCACCTTCTCTGTGTGCTCCCTCTGTTTGATTTGCTGTAAATAAACGACAACTCCATATAGTGAACCAATTACAGGCGTTTCATAAAGGACATTACTTATCAACTTATTTACTTTGTATTATGAATGTTTTATGTATATCAGGCATACTTATACAAGAGGTGGTCAATAAAAGTAACTTGGGTATGTTACAGTGAACATCTCTTTTTAATGAATATCTATGTATTACAGACATCCCTGTATAATTAACCTAATCACTGTATAGTGAATATATCTGTACAAAAATTATCTGTGGAAAGGAAAATCTTTGTACATTAAATAACTCTGTATAGTTAAAATCTCTGTATCGGAAACATCTTTGTATAACCATGGAATTAGATTTTAAAATTTGCTATCTAAGCCTGTGGTATAACATGATCTTTGTATAGTGAATATCTACAATGATAAACATTCCAGTAGAGAAATCATCCCTATATAGAATATCGTTATATATATATATATATTATAGTGACCAGCTCTAGTTAACATCTGTATATAACAATAATATCTGTATAGTGAATATCCACAATGATAAACATTCCAGTAGAGAAATCATCCCTGTATAGAATATCGTTTTATATATATATATATTATAGTGACCAGCTCTAGTTAACATCTGTATATAACAATAATATCTGTATAGTGAATATCTACAATGATAAACATTCCAGTAGAGAAATCATCCCTGTATAGAATATCGTTTTATATATATATATATAGTGACCAGCTCTAATTAACATCTGTATATAACAATAATATCTGTATAGTGAATATCTACAATGATAAACATTCCAGTAGAGAAATCATCCCTATATAGAATATCGTTTTATATATATATATATAGTGACCAGCTCTAGTAAACATTTGTATAAATATTGTCTGTATAGAACAAACATCTCAGTACATTTATAATAATATGTCTAGTTGACAACTTTGTATCTTGACAAACTCTAGTAAACATCTGTATATAACAATAATATCTGTATAGTGAATAACTTAACTTAATGTATAGTGACCAGCTCTAGTTAACATCTGTTTATATATTGTCTGTATATAATAATCATCTCTGTATAATAATATCTGTATAGTGAATAACTTAACTTAATGTTTATTGACTAACTCTAGTAAACATCTGTATAAATATTGTCTGTATACAATGTATTACAATTATCTCTATATAATAAGCATCTCTATTCTAACAATCATCTCTGTATATAGATGTATTACAATCATCTCTGTATATAGATGTACATCAGTCAGGAAATGAAGGAGGATTCACCTGTACAGGATTTGCTTTAGTTTAAAACAAATAGTAATTAGTACGGTATTCAATGAAAGACTCACCTCAATGATCCGGTTATAATCTTACCTCAATGATCCGGTTATAATCTTACCTCAATGATCCGGTTATAATCTTACCTCAATGATCCGGTTATAATCTTACCTCAATGATCCGGTTATAATCTTACCTCAATGATCCGGTTATAATCTTACCTCAATGATCCGGTTATAATCTTACCTCAATGATCCGGTTATAATCTTACCTCAATGATCCGGTTATAATCTTACCTCAATGATCCGGTTATAATCTTACCTCAATGATCCGGTTATAATCTGCTGAGGAAATCTTCATGAATTCACAATTAGGTTCATTGGTTATAACACTAAAAGGTCTAAAAATAATAGAAAAATACATATTTATTTAAAGTCAATACTTTTAAAAAGTTTTACCAAACAGATAATTAAATGACTTTATCATCAGCTATATTTGTGTAAGTTGACTATATCATGTAGAAAGTCACATGGGTAAATGTTGACTCGTTTGTATGCTGGTGAATTAATTTGAATTTATATTTGTATAATTAGTTGGCCATATTATATTGAAGTCACATAGGTACATAAATCTACTCTATTACATATTAAACATTTTGAAGAGCCAAACTGATAAAATTTTCACATTAATGTTTTTCACTTCTACAGCATAACACAATGACTTTGTGTGACGGTAATCAAAAGCAGCTTACTTATTGCCTTGCTCATCTTTCTCATGTTTCCTCAGTGTCCCGAACACATCTCCTTGTCCAAGCTGTAAAGACATACACAATTAGAGTAAGATCCCTAGAATCTAACATTTGTTAGGTAACATTACAGTGAAAACCTAAATAACTTTTGAAGAAAATTCTGTTGGGATTTCCAGTGTTCCCAAAACACCTTATGAGTTTTTTTTTTATCCACAAAACAGTTGATTCCCCCCCCCCCCCCCCCCCGCCATTTTTCCATCCTCGACACTCAAGGGGTAACGCTCATTTTCACTCTCTGCACCCCTGGAATAGAAGGCTCTGTTGTTTTCCACCTTTTGGATGAGACGATTGGTCAGTTTTGTTTACCCGAGGCTAATCGAATAGCTAGCCGTGTGCCTTCAATTTTGCTGCAACAGATTCCAAGGTTGCAGAGAGCGTATACCCCTGGAGTATCGAGGATGGCATTTTTCATGAACTTTTTAACTATGGACCTGGGGTTACAAAATATTGTAAATCTATCAAGACAAATATACTTCCAAATCTATAATCCCAGGGAACATCAAATTGAAATTCATCACAGATTAACCATGACATGGGTCCCAGTGACTGTCAATGACTCACTAGTAGCGCCCCATCCGATTCTGTCTTGCGTGACCTGGGTGAGCCTGGCTGTCCTTTCTCGTTGACATTTACCATGTCATCCAGGTAAGGGTGGCTGGTCGGTGATACTGTCCCTCGCAGGACCATGTACACGCTGGTGTTACCGAACACTGCAATCACAACGAGCACAAATATCAACAGGGTTTTCTGTTAAACGATGTATCCAAGCTGAAGGATGCAATGCTTTTGGCAGCAGCTTTAGTTTTGTTTGTAATTTTGTTTGTTTATGTCTTACTTTAACCATTGTAGTGCTATCAATAACAGCTAGTATTTCATAATTTATCATATTCATGTTCTTATTGACAAATTAGTTCAAATATTATTGATACATCAGCAAAATGGGAGTTAACTTGACACAACACAAAACAGACACATGTACCACGGGACCTGTTTGACATTCACACCTGAAAACCCTGGATCCTTCCACTGTTCACACACCGCCACAACACACAACTCCTTCAGGACAGTGGACGGGAATTTATCTTGGAAAAACTCAATTGTTTTCAAGATGGAAAACATTTTGTCATTTTCTGAAGCTGTCCTTTCAAATGGCCTGCACAAAAAAACATACATTTGTAAAGTGAAGATTTACTTGTATAGATACCATAGGTTCTAGCCTCGCCTGTCATTACACCTATAAGAGAGACAAGGCTAGTACCTGTCTAGATACTCAAGAAATACAGAAAAATACTTTTAACCACATTCAACTACATTATTTCTTGTGGATAATGATTATTTTAAATGCTTTCTATTGGGATATCATTTCACTCTCTATCACTAATATTGGAAAACTTCTCATACAGTATGAAAATTGTAGTTAATTTGACTGAAAACAATGGCATATTACATCTACAATCTCTAATTGTTTATCATCAAAATCAAATTATCTCTTTTTATTTATTTTTCTTTTAATCGTGATAAAATTAGTGTTTCACTCACAATTTTTTCAGAAGTTTCCGAAGTGTTCTCATGTTCGATCTATAAATAGCCTCCGGGTGCTCACTCTGACGCTGTTTGTGCAACAAGGGGAGATAATCTCTAATGTCATATGTAATTTCGTCTATAGGGTACTGTTTCCTGGCTATGGTCTTATCTGCTTCTGTTGTTTTTCCTACAGATGGCCATGAAATAAAATCATTGTTGGAAAGTGTACGTATGTCAAATTATATTCTTTACAAATAGGTCTTAGGTAATATTCACCTGTACTTGTAGTGTTATCGCGGGAGGGCTTTTTCAAATTCTGCAAACATTATTCCACAATTTCTCAAATCTTTTATCATATCATTTTCTCACCAAAATGTTTAAACTTTTCTGTGTATTTCCTTTCCTTAAACATATTCATCAAATAGTATTTTAAGTTGTCATTCCTGAATCATTTATAACGCCCTTGTATTTTTTAGGAGAACCATTCCTATATAATCAATCATTTATAACGCCCTTGTTTTTTTTAGGAGAACCATTCCTATATAATCAATCATTTATAATGCCCTTGTTTTTTTTAGGAGAACCATTCCTATATAATCCGTCTGATTTACCTGTTGCTCTGTAAGTGACAGTTGATAATGTTGACTTTTGCTGTTCACTGAAATATAATATATCTGGTTTACAAACCATCAAATCTTTTACAGAATATAAACAAAACATTTATAACATTGTTGAACATTTCCGTGTCAGTCACTTTAATCAAGAAAAGACTTTGAGGTTTCAGATAGCCAGCATTTAATAACTGTATGACCAAACACTCGTGTTGAATCCTTGATTAAATAAAGATAGAGAGTTTGTAGAGTTTGTTAGAACAAAATCTGACTGCAATACAATTATTCTTTGAAAAAACAGACATTAAATGTTTCAAAAGATGCTTGGTTTACTTTTTTCCAAGAAAACAAAGAGTATATTTTCTTGGCTATTTACATGTATACATTTTCATTGACCATCCTGAATAATAATAATAACATTTATTCAGGTAAAATAGGCATGTTATTACAAGATATCACAATATAGAATAAAATATATAATTAAAATCACATAGCAGCCTGTAAATAAAAAAGAGTATTTTGTATTAAGACTGAGAATAATGATAGATTTGACCTAATAAAAGGTTTTTAATTCAATCATTGACATTGAATGCAATCAGGATAGGTTATAAATTTAGAAAACAGAACATTTAGAGAAACAATCACACCAGTAACTTATTCGGACAAAAACCTCCCATTAAGTATATTTGTAATGATTGATATATACTTACAGTCTTTTGGCAGCATGGATGGGAAAACCAGCTTTTTTCTCTGGTTTGACAAACATGTGGTGATAACTCTTCATGAATACATCGTGTGCATCCTCAGATGATTCTCTGTAGTCTCTGAAATGTATTTTTCAAATTAGAATTAGGTATAAAAGCATATTATGAAAAAGGTGTTAACTAAAGGGGGACACTGAAGTAAATTATTTAGATTTAGTATCAGAACAACTCCTAGATCAGTATAAACATTGAACCAACTCATTCTATATTCCGCAATATACGAGATCCTGATTAATTAATGAAGTAGAACTAATTTTCGTAATCAACTAAAATTTAATTTTTCTTGATAATGATCAGAAAACAGGAAAATAAGTGACTGTCAGCTTATTCCGATATCTCATTTGAAAATTTGTGGAGTATAACATATAGATAGATAGATAGATATAGACTTAGATAGCAATCTAATTCCATGATTTTGATCAGGATTTTACATATGTTATGAAGGTTTTACCTATGAAGCTTCGTTTGTGAGCGAGCTTTGCAGGCTTTGAATATGCATTAAATGGAGTGTAGATCTTCAAATTAACTATTTTCAGTAAGTGAATAATAATAAGATTATACTATGTACATCACTTCATAAAATATCACCTTACCTTCCTTTCAGTCCTTCTAAATTATTCAGCCATCTCAGTTTTTCATAATCAATTGTTGGAGGCTTTCCATTACGGTTTGGCACTATAAAACAGGAAAAGTTAAGAGAATAAATACTTATAAGTAAGAATCTGTCTTCAAATCATGAATCGTGAACAATGATAATTAAGAAACATGGACTGATGTTAGCGAAATGAATGTATCTTTAACAGAAACTGCTAAATTTTATCAGCATCTGACGGTCAACGTTTTACATTTACAATAGGCCATACGTGCATTAGATTTACTATCGGGAAATATAACAACTAACAGCTTAATCAGCTAATCATTATATTCAGGGACGTATTATACGTCTCTGTTATATATAGCTGCTAAAAAATAACTTACAGTTGCTCTTTTTACTTTTGGTATGATCTCGTCCCCAGGCTGGACGCCCGAGTGTTTCCTCAAGTTTTACAAGCGCCATACTTGTATCCTTATTATCTTAGATTGCGGGTTGTTTTTGTTCAATTAATTCTTAGCGGGCACCTGTTCATGTCACCGCCATATTGTTTACATTTGTAACACAGCTGAGCAACGGACCGTAGTTTCGTATTTAGTCTGTCGAGTTCTTGTAAATAATAGTAATATAACGTATAACTGGCAAATATACAACAGAACTGGTTTGTTTTGAATACTAAATTAATAAATTGTTAAAATAGTGGTAATGTATGTATTGATAATAAGATTAAGATCTAGCTTTACTTTATTTTTAAACATGGCCGAATTTCCTGACTTGGGAAAACACTGCAGTGTACAATTTTGTAAACAAATAGGTAAAACCTCTCATTCCATGTTAATTCGCAATTTCAGATATTCACAAGTATTGTTCAATCCCTAATTGTTGCATAATAATGCAATATTGGCATAAAGGCAAACAGAAACTGAAGGCGATGTTAGGTCTAACAAGACTCATGTGGTCTGGCAAATTAGCAGACGACGTCGATTTATGCATTTGACTGGGCAAACTTTCGGATGACATTAGTGTATGCAGAGACATATATATTATGATAAGTGTTATAATGAAGGAAAAGTGTTATTAAACCTCTTTTATTTCTGTTATTTTAGCACGTTTCTTAATTTTATAATATCAACCACTACAACAAGTGAGGGGTTGCGATATTCACTAACCAAAAATAGTTTTGAAAGGAAGTGTTTCTTTTCTTGTTTAGTTTATGACATATATCATAAATTGTTGGTTTCAGATTTTCTTCCCTTTGACTGTGATGGATGTGGAAAATCATTTTGGTAAGAATGTGATAATACATAGTTGTAAGTTATATGCTTTTCAATACTATTACAACACTAACAAGTTCAGTGTACCTTACACTATAATGCTATACACCATTGGAACAGATTTTTTTTAAAGATCATCAAAATGATTTGTGCATTAAAAAGCATAGATAGAAGAAAGTGTAAATAACAGTAAGTGCTAATTTTGATAATGTATGCATAAATGCGAGTCTTGGTAATGTTTTCATGAAGAAAATTTCACTATATACATGTAATAGCTTCTCTTTGTTCTTTGTAGTGTTGATCACAAGTTTCCCGACGATCACAAATGCGACCAGGTATTTATCATCCTGTGTTAGACTACATTGTGTATATTTCTCATAATTTTTATGTTGAAATATAGTATGAAATTGTTTAATTAACAAACTGTAAATTATATTAGTAGGGTTACATAACATAATGTTAATGCGAATACAGTTATATTTCCTGATTTCCCTTGTGATAATTATGTTCCTGGGAGTAAAACTAAACCATAGGAGATGATTCTAACACATGCAATTTCATTACTTTGAAGACAAATTAGCAATGATGTATTTGGATGTAGATACCATTAATTTGGTTAAGGTCTACAACAGAAATTTAACATGTATTTGTACTAAGAGGAAATATTTTTACGATATGATTACAAAGTGTATAAGGTGAGCATACAACTTTTTAATGTTTTTAACCCCTTCTCTCTTCTAGTAGTGTACCAAAAAAAAGTTTGAGTATTTCAATGATTAAATTGCTTCAAGTTTTATCAATAAAATGTTGTTTCCCTTGTGAACAAACATAAGAGCAGCCAGCTGTACGAGACTAAGTGGGGATAGAAATAATTTTGCATATTTTGTGTGTGTGTTATAGGTGAACATAAACACAGCTACAGGAGACTACACTGGGGATAGAAGCTATAGTTGTACATTTGAAGGATGCCAGGGACGAGAATTAATGAAAGTTACCTGCGTACAATGTCAGAAAAACTTTTGTCTAAGGTAAATTACATATCTATTGTTGTCTAAAAGTCCTTGTTTTGGTGAAGAAACATGGATGGTGCACCTTTACAATATGTTCTCAAATAAAGGTTTTGTTAAACTTGAAGTATTTTCCACCTGACCATTAGTTGCCTGGCAGGGAACTCAGATTTACGCTTATTTGAAATAAAGATATTTTTTAGCTCACCTGGCCCGAAAGGCCAAGTGAGCTTATGCCATGGCGCAGCGTCCGTCGTCCGTCAACTTTTCCCTTTAACACGCTACTAGTCCTTAATGGCACATAGGATTTAGACAAAATTTGGTCTGAGGCATCATTGGCGAAAGGGTTTTCACTTTTGTATAAAAGGAGGGTATGGCCCCCCTGGGGGCAGAGGGGCGGGGCCAAATAGGGTGAAAGTAGGTAAATCTTCAAAAATCTTCTCACCAATAGAAGGATTTTGACCAAATTTGGTCTGAGGCATCATTGGCCAAAAGGTTTTGTATAAACGGAGGGTATGGCCCCCCTGGGGGCAGAGGGGCGGGGCCAAATAGGGGGAAAGTAGGTAAATCTTCAAAAATCTTCTCAACCAATAGAAGGATTTTGTCCAAATTTGTTCTAGAGTATCCTTGGACAAAGGGGCCTCAAGTTTGTATAAACGAAGGGAGTGGCCCCCCTTGGGGCAGAGGGTGGGGCCCAATAGGGGAAATAGAGGAAAAGTTTTCTCCTTCTCTACAAGTGAAGGGATTTAAACCAAATGCAGCCTGAAGGATGCTTAGGGATAAAAGAATCAATTTTGTATAAACTGAAGTGTGTGGACCCCCTCCTTTGGGGCAGAGGGGTAGGGCCCATTTGGGGAAATAGAGGAAAACATTAAAGATCCTTCTACACCCCCCCCC